ATCCAGGGCCTCACACATGCTAGGCAAGCACTCTGCCACTGAGCTATATTTCTATTCCTTTTTAGTTTATTTCTTTTTTTTTTTTTTTTTTTTTTTTTAGACAGGGTCTCGATATGTAGTTCAGGCAGACCTTGAGCTCACTTTGTAGCCCAGGGTGGTCTGGAACATACAATGATCCTCCTGCCTCAGCCTCCTGAGTGCTGGGATTACAAGCATGTGCCATCATGCCCAGTCTTTTTAGTTTATTTCTAGACAAAAGGACTGGCTGAGTTGCCCAGGCTGGCATCGGATTTGTAATCCTTCTGTCTCATCTTACTGAGTAGCTGGGATTACGTTGTTCATACAGGTGACATTGTGCACAGTGTCATATAGTTACTTTGTAGTCCATCCAACCCTTCAGGTTAACTCAGGTGGCAGTGACAGCGTACATTCTAGCAAATCAGCCTTTTGACTTCAAGTCCTCTAAGGTCCTACGTGAGAAACTGAACTTTAACACCACAAAATGTTTTCTCTTGAGTTAGGAGCTGTTTGTTATGCTTTTTATTCCTTTTAGTAAGAATCATGTTCCTCATCTGAGTTCCTGTTTTTAATGGGGCTGCTAGGGAGTTCCCATGTATCTGAAAATGTGTAGGCTTAGCACATCAATGCTGTTAATTCTTAGGGGTAGTGTACTGATTTCGGTCCTACCCACAGCTCTAACTCCTTTCAGTGGTGTTCACATTGTTCATAAAGTCTTTGTAGTAAAACTGCCTTTGGTCTTTTTGTGTGTGTGAGACAGAGGAATTTGTGAGATTACATTAGGTGTGTTCAAATTTTAGGGTAAATGCCCAAAACCAAAGAAGCCGTTTCTTTACTACCTTTCCTGTAGCCCAACGTCTAAATCTTCTAACCTGACTTGTGCCATGAGCGACAGGGACACTAGATGAGAAGCTTGTGGTGTCATAAGTTCAGTTGAGCACACATGTGCCCCCTTTGTGGCGGTCACCCACACACAGGTTAAGGGCCTTCCTCAGTCTGTGTAGCTCACGGGATGGAGCAGGCAGTCCCAGAAACAGAAACTATGATACCCTGATCTGAGGTAGATGCTAGCAACACCTTGTGGGAACAAGAAGGGAATGACCCAAATGGCCCAGGGACCTCTTCCCCAGAAAGCAGTGCCCAAGGTGAGGCTGGACGTGGGGTGGAAATCAGGCATTTGGGAGAAAGGGCTGATGTTCTGTGCGAAGTCTTGGAGCTGGGACACAGCAAACATGTTCTAGGCCCCGTGACTGTGCTGCGCTGAGGACTTCATATCAGTGTCTGAGTATGTAAGCGACTTAGGGTGAGGGTAGGGGGTGATGTTGGAGAGTTGATGAGGGCTGTTATCAGGATGGTGAGGGGCCCTACCTACCTGTGCTCCTGGCTTTTAATCTCAAAAGGTAATGAGGGAAGTGGGTAGGTGAGGGACAGCAGGGCGAGGTAGGGACTGTGGTGAACTGGACAGCACCGTTCCAGTGTAAGGGCAGCTGCAGTGTAGCTCTGGCCAGTGCCAGCGTTGGGGACCATGCAGTTTATTATTACCGGGTTTGTGGCATTTTAAGAGAAATTAGGATCCTGATTTCAGTTCAGTACAAAAAAATCCCTGCCTTTTAAGAGATGGCAACTAATTAAAGTATTTTAAAACCGCACCAGCAAAACAAAAGCCATCTGTGGGCCATATTCAACCATATTAGTGCTGGCTAAGGCTGATGGAAGCCCCTGGGGGATTTTTAACTAGGGAAAATTATGATCTGGTCCGGATTTTTGGAAAAGTTCTTTCAGGGCCTATAGAGAACAAATGAGGGGAAGTTGAACCAGGGAGGCAGGGAACCAATGAGAGCTTGGCTGTGATGCCAAGGTCCAGATGCAGTAATGGGGCATGGTGACCCAAGTACCAGGATCAGGATAGGAGGTGCGAGGAAAATTAGCTACAAGATAGTGGGTGCTGTAGATGACCCCGGGTGCCTGGTTTGATGAGTGAGGAGTGACCCAAGTGCCCAGGCCTGGCCAGGGAGGGTGAGGGTGGAGAGAAGGCTGTGTGGCTGGAGGGTGGGGACAGAGGTGTTAGTTACTTCCGAGACCCTTCTTGCTGGACAGTGGAAAAGATAGTGAGGTTATAAGAAGGGCAGGTACTAAGGACACCGTCCCTTTTGGTTTCCAGGGTGATCAACAGGATGAGGAGGAAGAGACCCAGATGAAGAAGTCAGAATCAGAGGTAGAGGTGAGAGCTGGGGTACATGGCAGGTGAGACATATAAGGGCTATCTCACTAGCCCAGCCCAGCCCTAACCCTGGACTTGTGCTCTCAGGAGGCAGCTGCCATTATTGCCCAGCGGCCTGACAACCCACGGGAATTCTTTAAACAGCAGGAACGAGTTGCGTCGGCCTCTGCGGGCAGCTGTGATGTGCCCTCACCCTTCAACCACCGATCAGGTAGTCCTCAGCTCCATCCCTATCCAACCCCCATTCCTCAGGTTATGGCCCTGGTCCCCTTTCGGACTCTTTCTTGGAAGAGAAGCCTTGCCCAAGGACCCCTTGGAGAAGGCAAGACCCCTCCCCCGGCATGTTTCTACCTGTGGCTTCCATGTGCAGGACCCCAGAAGGGCTGGGTGGTGGTGTGGATACTGGGCCTTGGCTGAGGTGGGGTACTGCAGAAGGCCAGCTGGGCAGCTCTGGTATGGGTGCAGGCACACCCCTGGCCGCCAGGGGACTAGGTCTGCCTTCCAGGGCCGTGGTGCATGTTGGGTAGGCTGTTGCCCTGGCCCTGAGTTTGAGCATCCTGGACCCTGCACCCAGGTTTCTGTTTGGCTTCTCGTGCAGCTTTTACCTCTCCCAAAGCTCCCTTCCATCCTTGTCTGCTGGTCTGAGTGTTGCACCTGCTGTGTGCTTGGCCCTGTTCGGGGCTGTAGGGGTGGAGCAGGTTGTCCTCAGTCATGCTGCTGCTCAGAGAGGCTGGCTGTGTGTGGCAGGCTTATATTGTGTCTGGTGCTGGTGGGAGGCATCTGATGGCTTGAGGCTGTGGCCCAGCTTGGCTGAATCTGCACCCTGGCTGAAAGCAGCTTGGACATCCAGGGCCAGCCCTGGGGGTGGGTGAGGCCTTGGGGTGGGGGGTGGGGGAGACTGACCCTCTCTTGTCCTCTGTCTCTTTCTCTGTCTGTCTCTCTTGGCAGGTCGTCCGTACTGCCCTTTCATAAAGGCATCGGACAGTGGGCCTTCCTCCTCCTCCTCCTCCTCCTCTTCCCCTCCACGGACTCCCTTTCCCTATATCACCTGTCACCGCACCCCAAACCTCTCTTCCTCCCTCCCATGTAGGTAGCAGCCCCAGGCCTCTGTGGGGGGGTAAGGAGGGTCCCGCTTCCCAGCAGCCCCCTCGCCCTCACTCCCCAGCCTGACTGCTGATCTCTGGTGTTTGTCCCCAGAGCAGGTACTGCCTGCCTCTTGCCCCAGGCCCTGCAGGGTGCTGGCCCCCAGGGGCCTGGTTTACAGGGTCTGGAGCTGTGGTTTGGCCCCCGTGGGGCCTGGGGAGCTCACAGCCCCCACCCAGACTCCAGAGACGAGATGCTGGCCAGGCCCCAAGGTGGACAATCCTGGTCCCTCCTGGCTCCTCCACTCTCACTGACCAACCTGGGGGCTTATTCCACAGGCAGCCACCTGGACAGCCACCGGAGGATGGCACCTACCCCCATTCCTGCCCGGAGCCCATCTGACTCCAGCACAGCCTCCACCCCTATCACTGAGCAGATCGAGCGGGCCCTGGATGAGGTCACATCCTCGCAGCCTCCACCACTGCCACCCCCAGCCCCACCAGCCCCAGGTGAGAGAGGAACCCCACATGTACAGGGCTAACATCAGGAACCCCAGCTTGCCATAGCAACTCCCCAGGGATCTAGAGCACCTGTCAACAAGGCTGCAGTGTCTTGGAAGTGGCCGTGGCAGGGAGGAGCTCTGCAGTCAGACTTGGCCTCCATAAACCTCAAAATCTCATGTCTGAAGTGGAGGTCAGGCCTTCCTCCTGGTTCTGCTGAATGGCTTGATGGTTTAAAGATGCAAGGTAGAGGGATATGGAGGAGCACTTTGTGCTGAACAGTGCCCCATGCAGAAGTCTTAGCAGAGGTGTATTTTCCCAGCTGCCCCTGGCCCCCTTACTCCTTAGGGGAGGGGCAGGGTATTGTAGAGAGGGTCTTCTTCCTTCTCCAAGGGGGTCGATTGCATCTGTCTCTTCCATCTGTGCTGTAACAGAGAACAAGGAGCCCAGCCCCAGCCTGGACACTGAAGAAACCTGCAAGGAAGCCAGAGCAGCAGGCCCTCAGGCCTGGGCTGGCCCCATGGTGGAGGCTCCTCAGGCACAGGAGCTTCCCCAGGGGCAGGGCTGTGCCGTGGAGGACTTGATGTTCATGGAGTCTCCATCGAAGGCTGTCCTGGCTGCCCCTGTGGAGCCTGCCACAGCTGATAGCACTACGGCCAACCTCGACAACCTCTCAGAAGTCGACACCCATACAGCTGACACCATTGAAACCGCCACTGACACCGCTGTTGCCAACAATATCACCCCCACCACTGCCAGCCTCGTAGACCTATGGCCTGGCAATGGGGAAGGGGTCTCAGCACCTCAGGCAGAACCTAGGGCCCCCACACCACCCTTGGGTGCTGAGGCCACCCTGGCAGAGGTGCCTCTACTTGATAAGGTGGTACAAGAGCCACTTGTGCCAGTGGGTGAAGGCTGTGCCAACCTGCTCAATTTTGATGAGCTGCCTGAGCCCCCAGCCACCTTTTGTGACCCAGAGGAGGAAGTAGGAGAGCCCCTGGTTGCCTCCCAGGCTCCAACTCTGCCTTCTGCTCTAGAGGAGGTGGATCAAGAGCCAGAGCCAGAGCAGGAGCTGGAGCAGGAACCCCACCTACTGACCAATGGCGAGACCACCCAGAAGGAGGGGACCCAGGTGGGGCAAGGGCAGGTTGATGTGAGGGGTAGCAGTTTGGGCTCCAGCAGAGGGCAGACTCTGCTTGCAGTAGCAACCCCTTTTCACTGTGACCTCATTGGGGGGGAAGCTCCATTCCACTCTCCTTCTCTGGTGTAGCTCTGCTTTTGTTCCCAAGGTAGGCTTCTTTGTTTCCCTGGCAACCACTGATGGAATCATTGGTTGCTGGGGAAACGGGCTCCAACCTGATAGGTCAGCCCTATCCCTAGTGGGTGGGGCCTTGTGACCGGTGGCTTTCCCCTGCAGGCCAGCGAAGGGTACTTCAGTCAATCACAGGAGGAGGAGTTTGCCCAATCCGAAGAGCTGTGTGCAAAGGCACCACCTCCTGTGTTCTACAACAAGCCTCCAGGTAGTATTGGAATGGAGGATGGGAAGGAATTGGCGTGAGGGTGCAGGGTTTGAGTGTGGGTCAGCGGCATCCCTGACATGCAGGTGACTCAGTTCCCAGAGGCTGGGCCATCTTTTTAACTTCTCTTCACTCTCAACACTGCAGAAATTGATATCACCTGCTGGGATGCAGACCCAGTACCAGAAGAAGAGGAAGGCTTCGAGGGTGGCGATTAGTGGTGGCTCCTGCTCTCTGGCTGCCCTTGCCAAGGCTGCCCTCACCAAGGCTGCCCACCTGTGCGGGCCTCTGGTCAGATGGCCCACAGCGCCTGCATCTGCAGCAGCTCCGCCTGGCACCTCCTCTGGATTCCAGCTCTGGCCGGGGACTTTTCCGCTTCCTTACCCACAGGGCCTGACTTTTACAGCTTTTCTTTCTTTTTTTTTAAAAAGTTGATAGGAGACTTGTACAGTTGACTGGTTTTCCTCTCGTTGGTAGTTGAGACGCTGTTGCAAATCCCTACCCCCACCCCCAACCTGGTCCAGATTGTAGCTTAGTCCTCCCTGCTCAGCTGGTCAGGGTGGAGGCCTCACCCCGCTTCGGGTCTGGAGTGGGGGAAGTTCTGGTGGGACAATGTGCCCCCACCTCTTTTCCTAGTTTTATGTTTCTCGGAAAAATATCACTTTGTATTCTCTGTCCAGGGCTTCAGATATTTTGCACGAATTTTAAAACATGGCAATAAATGGCTCGTGGGCTCTGGTTCCCTGGGACCCCTCCCTGCCCTTCTCTTGACCCTTTCCTGCCTGGCCAGAAGGAAGCAGTAGGCCCAGCTGGGGCCTCTCGGCTTCCCCGCCCTCTCCTGCCGGGCAGGTCCCAGGCTGGAGGCCCTAGGCATGATTCAGGTCAGGGCTATGGATGGAGCCCAGAGGGTTTGGGTGGTCTCTTCCAAATTCCTTCTTCTTTGCTTGGGTTCCTTTTTCACGTTCAGTAACTGTTTTTTTGGAAAGCACAAACTTCTGTAACGGGTCGTGCTTATGTCTGTTAATAAAGAAATCCAGATCCCTTCGGGCCTACTGCTCTGGGCCTCCAGGGGCTGATCTGGAGGGCTGCCTGTCTGCCCTGACCCGGTTCCCAGCTCCTCCCACCTCCAAGGCCACAGCATCTCTCTGCTACCAAGGCGTGTCCTAACTCTGATCTCAAAGGCAAGCTCGGTGGAGACGGTGGCCCTCTGAGTAACTAGCCTGTAGTTTCCAAACGCTGACCTACGTTCAGTGCTATAGGCCCAGGCCTGGTGGTGGCGGAAACGCGTATATGCATTTCCTCATGTTAAGGCCTCAACATGTCTGGCCACCAGAACCTTACGCGCATGCAGCGGGTGTCCCCTCCGCTTGTACCAAAGCAGATCACACACCTTTATTATCCTCAAAATGTAACAAACGGGGTATGAAATCCCTCCCTCCCCCCTCCCCCACAGTCCAAGGGAAGCATTTAAAAAGCCCCGCAGTCAGGCCAGGAGTTCGCCGGTGGGGCCCAGGACGCCGGGCGCCCCTCTATACGGCTGTAGTCCTCCCGAACAAAGGGATGGAGACCGGCAGACGCCAAGCTCCGTGCTCCAAGGGCTCGCGGCTGCTGAGCTCTGAGTCGGTCCAGCTGGGGAAGACCCGGCGGCTCCGGTCGGCCTGCAGACAGAGGGCGGGGCAGGGCGCTGCGGGCCGTGGGGCGCTGGGCAGGTGCAGCGCCGAGGTGTAGCCCCGGTCCAGGAAGAGCGGCTTGTAGCTGGGCGGCGGCTGTTCCTGTTTCTCCGCGCTATCGCGGCGGCTCAGAAAGGGCGTAACGATCTTGCGGTAGAGGCCGCGCGTGTCCGTGAGCACCTCGCTGTAGGGCGGCGGCGGCTCTGCCATCAGCACCGCCTCTTCATAACACGGTGGCTTGGACATGTCCGATTCCGCTGCAGAACAGGAAGCGGTCCGAGGGGGTGAGGCCACCGGCCCCCAGCCACTGGCACTGGCCTTGACCAGGCGCCCGCCCCAGCCCACTCTTCCCTTTTTCTCAGAGAGGCTGTCGTGGTGCGCCCACCCCTCACCGAGGACCCCCCGCCGGCTCCGGCCACCGAGGGGAGCCGAGCACTTACCTTGACGCGGGTAGCTCCAGGGCCGGGGCGGCACCGAGAGGTGCGGCAGCGCGTGGTGGTGCGGATGCGGGTGTGGGTGCGCGTGCTGCTGCGCGGGCCCGTGGTGCAGCAGGGGGTGCACGTGTACGTGTGGATGCGCGTGCGCCGGCGCCTCCAGGCGACCGCGGTGCGGTGGTGGCGGCGGCGCCAGGCCCGGCGGACTTCCGGCCACGCTGCCCTCGAGCTCCAGAGGCTCCAGCTCTAGGGCGCGCAGGTTCTGCTCGCGCAGTCGCTCCTCCTGGCGCCGTTTGAGACGGCGGCGCAGGAAGCTGCAGAAGCAGCAGAGCAGGACAATGAGACCCCAGATGAGCCAGAAGCCGGCGAAGCACGTGAGGAACGTGTAGGTGCCCTGGGACATCACCATGGCGGCGGCGTGAGCAATGCGTCCTCAGCAGCTTCACTGGACACTGGGCTCCTCTGCGTGGCCCCGAACCCGCGTCACGCTCCCAGGTGCCGCCAGCGTCATCCGGGGACCCGCGGCTGGGGGCTGCCTGCGGCGTGGCTCAAGTCGTGTGCGCGCCGGCGAGGGACAGCTGCGGCGCCCTCTCCTTCCCATGGCGCCGGCCAGCGCGCGAAAGTGCTTCACCCAGGGCCGCGAGGGACCTGCGGGGCAGACATAGGGCGCAGTGAAGGCGCGCCGTGGTCCCTGACGACTTCCAGGCCTGTGCCGGCCTCCCGAGTAGTTCCAGGGAAGCCGCCTCCGTGGGAACCCCCGCACTCCCCGGGGGCCCGGTGACGTCACCGATGCAGATGACGTCACACCTCGAGGTTTCCCTAGTAGGGTTTTCCCGGATTCTAGACCCGACTGCCGCGAAGCCCAGGTGCGGACGGGACCCAAAGTGAGCCAGCAGGGGGCGCGCGAAGGCCAGGTTTGAGCGTTGAGCTCGCGCGAGAGATTCGCCACCCGCAACCCCTGGGTGTAGGCCACCCCAGCTCGGAAATGGTTTCGGAGGCCTGTGAATACCCAGGCGCTGAAGAGTCTCGGCGAGGCTCCTCTGAGCGAGGAAGGGCGGGCCACTTCTCGAGCCCCACAAGCAGCCCTCCTGGCGCCCAGCTCCAGGACATCCGGCCCTGCCCTTGGGCCTCCGGGTCTTCGCTGCGCCCGCCCCGTACAGGGGCTCGGGTTGGCAGCTGACTGCCCTGCGTGCCTCGGCCCTGCCTTTGTTTGCGCCGCCTGACCAGCCGCGAGGGGGTGGGCCAGGCCCTTCCTTTCCTCGGGTTGCCTCGCCTGTAGGATTCCAGCTTCCCCGCCTCCTGCACAAACGCAGCCCCACTTGGCTCCTCCACGCCATCTCCAGGCCGCTGTCTCCCTTCCCCCAATTCCTGTCTCTCTCCGCAGAGATGAGGAAAAGTAGATGAGATTTGGAAGCTCATCTTCCTCGGATCCACCTGGCCCTGCACTCACTCACTCGAGGCTGGCATCGCTAGTTCCACGTCTGTCCACAGCCACACCGAGGGGCAGCCTGGCACCCCAGAGGTGTGTAGCCAGGAGCCCTGCCTTTGTGCAGTGAGGGGCAGCCGGTGACTCCCCCCCACGGACCAGAAGGGGGACCTTCTTGGGTGCTTTATACCAGGCGCTTTGACACAGAACCCTTTAGGGTACACAGACAGGATTGTGGGAGCAAGGAGTTGTGCAGACGGCAGGTGGCAGAACCTAGTTTGACCTCAGGCTTGGCCACAAAACCCTATCCTGAGTGGGATGAGAGAGTGTTGCTGCCTGAACTACTCTGTGGGCCTCATTCAGAGCCCCAGGACCTTCCCATCCTTAGCACATTGAAGGCAGGCGAGCATACATTCACTGTTTTGGGGCCCATAGCCTGAGCCCCAAGCTGGGAGGATGCCAGGCCACCCCACATTCTCCCCAGATGGCTCCTGTCTGACTCTGTGGCTGCCTTCAGCCATGTGCCACCAGGTGCCCGTGCCAGTCCTTTTTGCCGGGCCTGCGTTCTAGAACAGACAACGTCAGGAACAATAGCTCTGCCCACCCCCTCAACAACCCCGCCATGAGGCTGCCATGGCGACGCAGCCTAGATAAAAACACGATGCTGCCAGTCACTGGGAGTTAATTAAGTCTGCTGTTCTCCTTTTGCCGAGCCCTCAGGAGCAGGAATGTTCAGAGGAAATTTTGGCAGTAACTAGAGGTTCCCCTTCTTGGTAGGACAGAAGCAACTATGGTCAGACAGGCACTTAGGGGGCTGGGGGTAATGGGGTTTAGAGGAATTAGAAATGCCTGTCAAAAGCCAGCCCCGGTGGCACATGCCTCATTTGACACCCTCAGTAGTAGTCCCAGTTACTTGGGGGGTGCTGAGGCAGGAGGATCACTTCAGCCCCAGAGTTTGAGGCCATTGGGGCTGGGGTTTTAGCTCAGCGGCACAGCGCCTGCCTGGCAAGCACAAGGTCGTGAGTTCGATTTCTGGTACCGGAAAAAAAAAAAAAAAGAAAAGAAAACTTGCATCTCTTGAATGACCAATATTGTTGAGAATTTTTGGAAAAAAACAAACAAACAAAGAAAAAACATTGTGAAGGACCATCAGGATCTGTCCCTCCTTCCATACAGATTGAGACAGGGTCTCACTATGTAGTTCAAACCAGCCTTGAATTTGCTATATAGCCTAGGCTGCCTTCCAACTTGCAGCAATCCTCCTGCCTCAGCCTCCCAAGTGCTGGGATTACAGGCGTGCACCATTACACCCGGCCTTTCCATTCATTATCCTGTGTGATCAACATCACCTAGTCACTGCTGGTCATGCCAATTTCATAGGTGAGGAGAAAGAAGCCAATTACTTGTCCCAGGTCATGCAACTAATAAGAAGAGCTAAGATGTAGCTGGCATCTGAATTCAAATTGTCCACCTTCTTTGTGTCACAAATGAGATGTAAATGAAAAGCCCAGCGTTTGTGAGCACTCAGTACATGAGGACTTGGCAGCTACTGGGGAGCTGGACAGTGTGGCCAGCTAGGAGCCTTAAATGTGAATTCTTGTTCTTCCACAAAGGCACTGGAATGCCTGACCACGAGCTCACTGCTGCCTTGGACTAGCTCAGGCTGGGAAAGTACTGCACAGAATGAGGGGCAGAATGGCAGCTCCAGGCTTAACAAGGAACCAAAGACAGGGTCTGTGCCCTGAGGGTGCCCAGTTTAGCAGGCTGGGCTTAGGCCAGACTGGCACAAGCCACACCCCAAATCTATCTGGTGCTGTTTGACACCCCTCAGCTAGGAAGTTAAGAATTACTGTCACCAAGCTGGGCATGGTAGCACAGGCTTGTAATCCTACCACTTGGGAGGCTGAGGCAGGAGGATTGTTGTGAGTTTGAGACCAGCCTGGGCTACAAAGTGAGCTCAAGGCCAGCCTGAACTGCATAGCAAGACCTTGTCACAATAAGACCAAAAAAAAAAAAAAAAAAATCACTGCCACATTTTATAGATTAGTCAGAGAGGGGCAGTCTCTCACATGGGGTTTCAAGGCTGAGATGGCCCTCTGACCCTAGTCTGGCTCCAAACCCTAGCTCGAGGGGTGAGAATTTGATACTAAACACTGCGCCTGCGTGGCTACCACAGGCCCCCATAGGGCCACAATCAGGCCTGTAGCTTCCTTCCTGGTTACTCTGTATATAATGATCTAGTCCACAATAGGTGCCTAGTAATGTAAACACTGAGTCTTTCAAATCTTTTAAAATGCTCTATTGACCAGGCTAAAGTTCTTGAAGCCTCCCAGAAAGGCCTCCCCTTTGCTCTTTATGCCTGTGTACCTTCTTGTAATTGTCTGGGGACCCCTTAGACTCATAGCCTCTTGCTTGAAGCCACTGGCCTTGACAAACCCCTCCAGACAGTAGCAAACACCTGCCACATGTCCAACTCTGCTATTTGTTAATAGCCATGCCCTTCAGATGGACTTATTTGTACGCCTGCCATCTTACTATTTGTTTTCTTTCTGTTTTCTTTCATTCTTTTTGTTTGTTTGTTTGTTTGTTTGGTTTTTCTCTGGTACCGGGAACCGAACTCACGACCTTGCGCTTGCCAGGCAGGCACTTTGCCGCTGAGCTAAATCCCCAGCGCCTGTTTTCTTTCATTCTAGGTAGTGTTGGGATTCCATCTTGGGAATTCCTTGGGATTCCATCTTGATTTATGTGTAGTGTTTTTGAGCATGTCTGGGTATAGTTTTGGGCCACACTCACTGGCAACACAGGAGGAAAATGAAAGCAAGACCTGGGGTGTTTTATAACCTCCACGCTGCCTCAGTTTCCTCATCAGTACCCATGAGGAAGGTTGAGCTAGTCCATTGCCGAGGGCATGCCACTGAGCAACAGACACTAGCTCTGATGATGGCAGCTTCTGAACTAGGGGTGCAGAGATGTGTGTGTCCTTAAGGTGCCCCCTGCCTGAGGGCTGACCACCATGCAGAGTTCTCACAGTCTTCCTAAGAAGAAGTCTTTCTATTTGACTGATGAGAATACTTGGCTATTAAGAGATTAAATGACATCCAAGGGCCAGAGATCTCATATTCTAGGGTGTAGCTGCATTGCTGAGGGCACCTACAACATTGCTTCTCTGCAGGAACCCTGGCCCCTCAACCTTAGACTCCAAAGATCTGCTACTGGGTTCTTTATCTCAGCAACGGGCTCATCATTCATCTCACCCATCAAATTCTCAATGCAGTGTCTTCATCTGTCTATGTCCTTTGGTTCTCCTGCCACTGGCCTGGTCAGGCCACCATTACCTCTCACCTGGAGCCCTATTATCATGCTTGCCATATGCTACACCCCTTCACAGCCTACCCATTCTCCATGCTGCCTATTTGCCCTCAGTCCTCCCTGTCTGAACCCTCCAATTCCTCTTTGTTGTTTCAGAAGACAGTCTTACCCTTCACATGGTTCAGATTGATGCCTCTCAAACTTTCGTGAGCATGCAAGCTATATAAATGGCTTGTCAAAACAGAGGGCCAGGCCCCCTTTTGGGCTCCTTCAGTAGGTCTGGGATGGGGCCCCAGAGTTTGCACATCTAACAAATTCCCAGCAGATGTTGGGCCAGGAGCACTCCGTGACCTAAACTGTGCCCTCCGGGATGAGCCTTGGCCAAGGCCACTTCATCTTCTGGCACATTTTCCTGGAGAAGTAATTCCTGAGCCACCTCACCTGCCCAGGGATGGATGAGAATAAAGCCCAGTGATCTCAGACTGTTCAGAAATGGCCTGTGTCCACCAGAGGCTGCCTCTGCCTTGGTCCCCTGGCATATGGTAGTTCAAAAGCCACTTGTTTGGCCCTAGGTATAAGATAAGGAACACCTCAGGAGCTGGGTTGCCATCCAAATCATTCCTGAGGATGTCTGCCATTTACCACCAAGTCACCAGGAAAGAAGTCATCACCCAGCATTCAGCTCTCACTGCATGGATTATAAGCAAACTGAGAACCATATCTGTGGACAAAAGGAAAAAGACAACCTGGAGGCACAGACCAGGGTCTCTGGAGGAAGGAAATCCCAGGTGGCAGGTGCTCTGGGTGACCAGGGAGAGTCCTACAATGAGGCGTGGGCCTGCTGGTACTCAGGTGAGGGGCCGGAGACTCAGACTCACAAAGACAGGAAGGAGGGAGGAGAGTGTGATGTGGTGTGGTGTGAGGATGGAGTCCTGTGTGCCCTGTACACACCCCTGGCATCTTTACAGTCATGATCTTAGTAACACTCAGGAGGTGGCTGTTGTCATCCTCATCCTGGAGACAAGGATGTAGCCTCAACAAGGTGCTGGGTCCTACTGAGGCCCGTGGAGTCATATGGCTGTGAAGCTCTGATGAGTGCAAAGCCCACTGACAAGAAAGGGTATTTCAGGGAGGCACTGGTGACATATTTACACCCTTTCCAGACCAAGATGGGAGGACTGACACAGAAGAGAAATGATTGAACTTATCCCGGCTCCCAAAGTCAGCCAGGCAATGGAGCAACAGTAAAGTACTACTAGCTTGGTACCCCAGCCAGTGGGTAGAATCTCTACAACCCAACCCTGACATTGGGAAACTGCAAACAACAGAGTGGGCAAAGGCCCTTTGCAGGCTAGTGTCTTCTGTACCGGCCTCCAGCAGCTTGTGTGTATATGGGGTGGGGAGCTGGATATTCAAAGACCTGACTGAGTAAACCTCTTTCTGTGGCTTCCTCTGCTTCTATCCTCTCATCCAGCATGAGAGCTAACTACCTGTCCTTGCAAGGGAGGCAGCCACACAGTGTGTTTATACATGTGGGGTCCCCCTCTTACTAAGGCCAGTGTGATGTAACGTGCAGAGCACTGAGGTGCAGCCTTAGGTTCAAATCCTGTCTCTGCCCTAACTGAGCCATGTGATCACACTCTGGCTACTCCCATTCTTGACTGAAGCTTCTTCACCTGTAGGACAAGGGATAATAAGACCTGCCTAGTAGTACCAAGGAGGGAGCACAACTGATGAAGATTTTGATAACATCCAAGGCCAACATGGACAGCTGAATGTAACTGACTAAACACCAGCACCATGCGGCCTGGAGAGGCTCAACTGTGAACACCAGCCCATGGGAGTAGAATGTATGCAGCCTGGGGGTGGTCCAGCAAAACTACCCTCATTTTACCATGGACCAAAGGCCTCAGACTCCTGACCCTCAGCTTGAACACAGCTCATAGATACATTTTGTTGGCCTACAACCTATTTTTAAAAATATTCTGATTGGTTACCAGCATTTAAAAACCAGATTTTGCATGAAGGCCTGGATTTCTTGAACATTTGAAAACTGGACAATCTGGTCATACCAAATCCACATCTCACAAAAGTTCCATCAACTGGAGTTAAGCACTCCCTGGACCACCTCACTCATTCTCATTCCATTGCCCCCTGGCCCATGGAAGCACCTGGCTTTCCCACCTCTGAGCTATACTGGGTATCCACAGGGTCCAGCACTGCCTGGGCCCACCTTTGCTGTTCTCCCACAGCCAGGAATGCAGGCTGAAAAGGCCACAGAGACAATGAACCAGACTAAGGACTTAGGGATTTCCCAGGGGGCTGAGGCAGTCCTCACTGCTTGCTCTCAGCCAGGGAGAGAAAATGGAGGGAGACAGGAAGCCAGCCGGCAGCAGCACAATCCTACAAAGCATCTGAGGCAGCAAGAATCCGGCTGATTTTGCTGGAAGAGGGAAAGGTGTACCAAGGCTTGAAAGAAGGAACTTCCTCACTGGAGGAATGTGAAGGAAGGTTAAGAATGCTCCCCTGGAAGGCTCTAGGGTTTTCTACCTTGATCACATAAACTGTGTATGCAGGCTGAGAGGGGCTTTGCCAGTAGAGAAACTGGCAATGGAAACCTAGCTCTACCTCTTACTGGTTGCATGACCTCAGACAAGTCACTTCACCTGCCTGAGCCTCAGTCTCCATCTAAAAGGAGGATAATAAACTTACCTTCCACAATTGCTGTAAGAATTGGGAGATAATAGGTCCAGAGGCCTTACACAGAACATGAAAAGAATGAAAGGAGCCTATGAATAATCCCCAAGGCCCATCTGTCTGCAGGAGACTCAGACCTGATTTCCCAGGCATTATCCATCTATGGACACCTTATGCCAAGACCTCAAATGCCCCAGACACCTGTCACCTCTGATGCCCAGGATACCTCCTTAGATGGGAAAGGAAACCTAAAGGTGGTTGTGGTCTCAGGCATGCTGGAGCCAAAGCCTGTGGTCAGGGCTGGCAACTGCTGAGTCAGGCCATGGAGTGCTGGCAGAGGGGGCATTTCTCTCTCCAGCACACCGCCTGCTGAGGGACGGTTGGGAGGGGAGCCAGAGGTCATTTCCTCTGACTCAGTGGCCATTCTCTTCCCAGAGGAGTCCCCTGGAAGACAGGGCACCTCCATGTGGCAGTGGCCTCTCTGCTGGCCAACCTGCATGCCACCCTTCACAGTTAAGGCATTGTGCTGAGACATGAAAGGGACACTTGTGGACCAAACAGTGGGCTGGGTCTCTCCCATTTGGCCTGAGCTTCAGCTTCCCTGGGTCAGCAATGTCCTTTCCTCTGTTCCTGCCCACTCACTTCCACTGCTCCCTGGAGAAGGATGGCTAGGAACCCAGAACAGAGACTATCTCCAGCCCATGGGGCAGTCTGGCACCTGCTCTGGTCAAGAGGAGGTGGAGGAAGTCAAGTTTTTTTTCTCTCCCCTGATAAGGAACATGGCCTCTGGGAAATACAACTCAGGCCATGCAGGGAGGGAGCGGGAGAAGGCCCTGGGCAGTGATAACGGTGGTGAGAGCTATGGAGTAGGGACCCCAGATCCAGCCTCCCTGCCTCATCTCTCGGCAAGCTTAGGGTCTGGGCCGCCTCCACGTTTGCAGCCACCCTAGGAGCCCTGCTGCAACGATTGCAGCCACGTGGGAGCCAGCTCGTGCCCACGGAGCCGCTCACCCCCAGCCCCCACCGTCGACGAGCTGGGGAGGCAGGCACACCCAGACGAGCCACAGGGACATTCCCCCCATGGCGCCCATCTCTCTCCCCGCGCCCCCGGCTCTGGCCCCGCGTGGGGTGGGGGAGGGGTATCGCCACCCCTCAGTCGCGTTGCCGGGGAGCGCAACCCCGTTGCTGTGGCAACCGTTTCCAAGCGAACTGGTGGCTGCTCGCGCCCGCTCGGGCTCCTTCGCTCACTGGCGCCCTCCTTCCCTCTCCCTCCCTCCAGTGTGGGCTGGGGGAGGGTCTACCCGTGGCCCGGGCCGGGGGTCCTGGGCGGCGACCCCCGGCCAGGGAGCAGAGCTGCCCGCGGGGAAGGACTCAGCCCTGGGACCATCTTCCACCAGCCCTCCAAACCTGCCCAACTCGCAGCCGCCGCGGTACTCACGGGCCCAGACATCCTCCTCGAGCTCAGCTTCCGCCTTGGGGCGACCGGCCCAGAGGACTGAGTCCCCGGCCTGTGGGAGGCGGCGGTATCTGCAGCTGCCCCGGGGAGCAGACAGTGGCAGCAAAAGCGGCTCCGAGCGCGGGGCTGGAGGCAGGGGGCGCGCGCACGGCCGCGTACGCGGCGCGTGCCAGCCCAGCGTGCGCGCGCGCGGCAGCCAGCAGAGGGCCCCTCACCCCACCCCTACCCACCGACACACGCTGACAAGGAGGCTGCCCCTAGAGGGAAGGGGGTGCGTGGGATGCAGCACCCCCCGGCCGCGCCCAGACGGGGTACACAAGGGCGCCAAGTTCACACCCTCAGGGCATCCTGCACAGGGAATGCACACACCACACACCTCTTAGTGATAGGCTGCTCGGTGGCGGAGGGGACACACCGGCAGACCCAAGCACACATCGGTCTGCATACTTAGCCGAGCAGCTGAGGTTAAGAACCCCGATGTGCACATGGCTCAGCTTGGAGACCATACCGTATACACACAACGACAGGCTACTGCACACACACAGTGGGTAGGAGTTCGAGTCGCAGCGACTCCAGTGTGGCTCCCTCCTAACTCATACCCACACCCGCTGTGTCCCCATCGGGCATACATCACCAGATGCCAAAGTACGAAGAAGCACAAGGAGGTGGACCTAGTGCAGAATCCTTAACTATGGCCCCAGGGTCATGCACACCCCAGGGAACAGAGGTGACCCCTAGAGAGGGCCCCATCCTGAGGTCCTCTTAAAGGGGCCACTTTGAACCTGGCCGACAGTTGAGTTCCGTCTCTACACCAACTTCTCTGGCTTTCAAGGTGATCTTTCAAAAACATCCTCTCTCACCATATGAGCTGCAATATTTTGGGCTGCAAAGCACTGAACCCTAAAATAAATGGGCTTGAGCCCACAGGGACTGGCTCACATCACTGGCAAGTCTGGAGACTTGCCAAGATTGGTTCTAGGTGTTTCAGCAATGGCATCAAGCATGTTATCTGTTTCTCTTACTCTGCTTTCTCCTGTGTATCATTTTGGCAAGAGGTGACAGGGATGAGCTCCACAGCTCTAGCCCACCCATTCCCAGAGGAAAAAGAACTGTTACTGAATAGTTTGGAAAAAAAACCTCAAACCAATAAACCCACATGTAACTTTTTTTTGGACTCATTTGACTGAGTGTCAGTGAACCCATCCAGGCAGTCACACCTTGGGGGAGGGGATCTGTATTCTGAAGGGCCACCCAGTATTTATTCTTTTTTTTTTTTTTTTTTTTAAGCTACATTACTCAGATTTAACTGGAAGAATCACTGCCCGGATGGGTGCTATCATGTTGAGCCTCTGAAATCAGTTACTCTGCTTTCCCAGTATATGCCAGACAGGTTTCCACCCTAGCCGGCAGAGTTCCTGGGAGTCAGGTCAATGCTACCAAGACAGGAATGGTATTTTGCTTTTGGTGGTCATGCTCTGAAGAGATGAAACTGGCAACTAACACCATGAGACCCCCAGCTACACCCAACAGAACTGGGGCACAAACCAAGCGCTTCTGCATAACTTCAGCCTCAGCCCTTTTATTTATTTCTTGAGAGAGGGTCTTCCTAAATTGCTCAGGCTGGCCTTAAACTTGCAGTCTTTCTGCCTCCATCTCCCTCGTAGCTAGGATTACAGGCATGAGCTGCCACACTCAATCCTCTGGCCCTTTTTATCTGAGCTTATGTCCTTTAACACTGTTAACTAGAAAGCTGTGCCCTTCCTTGCAACATTCCTACCTGGGTCTTATGTGCAGTGCACTGTATGCAGGGGTACAAACCCACCACCATCTAAAATGCATGGAGAGTGGAGGGGTTCCACAAAAGAAACAGGATATTTTTGTAGATGCTAGGACAGACATCCTGATACAACCAGTCAAAACCCTTCAGGGATTCCCCAGCTGTCCAGATGAGTCCCTGCACCCTTCACAGGCCCCTAAAACTAGTTTTGGTTCACTGACCCAAGCTGCAGCCACTCCTTTTTTCACTCCACCCCTACCCCATGCTCAGTCATCCTAAAACACAAGAAGCTCTACGTCATCCATCTGGCCCTGGTGTCCTAGAGCGCACCAACTAAGATACTTTCATGGCCAAGGGGTCTATACTGCTTGGTGTAGCCCTCAACCCGCACTACTGTACAATCCTCTCCGCCACAGTGCTGATCACACTTGGTGCCACTGTTCCCACGTCTGCCTGCCTACCAGACTGAGCTCCAAGCTGGCAGGGGCCTGGTCTCCATCTGCGTCCCCAGCTCCCACCATAGAGCTGGGTGGGAAGGTGAGCTTAGTGAACACTTGTTGGGAAATGAATTCTGGGAGATTCCTCTGCCGAGGATTTAAGGTGAACTTAACCCTAGCGAAGTTCCCTGGATGCCTCCCACACAAGGAAGAACATGGGGAAAAGGGTCTCAGTGCCTCAGGGCCCTGCATGTCCATCTGGCATACCTGCCCAGGGATGGGCTTTGGCCTCTGCAAGCTAATACCTATCTGACACCCACCCCAACCCCAGAATTTGGAGCGGAGGGACAAGTGCACTTTAGACCCCAACCTCATGGGGAAGGTCTGACTTTTTCATCTTCGGCTAGCTTCTTTTTTCATCCTGCACTGACCGCTCACCCACCAGAAGAACTTGCGTGAACCCTCCCACTACGCCACCCCTTTGCCATTTCCTTCAAACTGATGAAAGAAGGAACAAGCACTCCACACACCAAGAGGTTGTTTCTACAAAGTTGGTGCTGGGTACCTTCCAGTTGCTGTTAAGACAGCTGCCCAGCTTAGCACCCAGCGCCCACTCCCCTAGCAGCTGAGAGCCCTATCAGTAATCTAGGGGCTCCAGGGGCTCACTAGCTCCTTCAGTGAACTTTTATAACTCCCTGCAAGGCAAGGGTATCACACTTTTCGTAGATAAGGGAAAGACCTGAGCAAAGCCAGTTTAAAGAGCTGCCAGGCTGGGACCTGAACCTGTAACTGGCAACAGCAGAGCTCATGTGCCGTCTGCAGATGTGCCTGACCCAGAGGCAAAGAACAAATCTTTATGGTGGTTACAGTGCATTCTTGGGGAGAGCTGGGGACACTGGAAGCCTATTAAACAGTGGCAAGTTTGCAAAGGCTAGAACAAATTTGTGATCAAACTCCTCTTACCCCCAAATAATCGCGTATGTGGTTCCCCGATCGGTCTTCCAGGCAACTCTCCTTCAAGGCCAGCTACCACTATCTTTGGAAAACCTGCCTTGATATGCGGTGGCTGGTCCCTTCCCACCCTGCCACACCCTCTTCCCAGTATCACCATTCTCTAGGTCTTTCCCCATCTATATGTAATGCTTCAAGGACAAAAGAGAGGGATGCACACGCACCAGCCCAGGGTCAGGCACATAGCAGGCAGCTTGTGAAGAAAGATGTGGGGCAGGTGTTTGTAACAGCAGCTCCCACCTGGCTCACAGGCCACTCCCAAGTTCACATTTGGCAGCCAGATCACCCTGGCCTTGGATAGCTTAAAGACCATCCAGATAGCCTCTCTAGCACAGTCAGAAACAGGCCCACACCCCAGTATCAAGACTGTCTTCCTTATGCCCTGTACTATTTAGGAAACAGAGGAACCCACTGGGTGAACTCAAAGGCCACCAAGGCCTGGTTGCCTAGAAAGACTGCCTTACAGTAAGTCCTAAGCCTTGGAAAGAGAGCCCCTCACCCCCTCTGCCAGGTCCATCTCCAATCCTTTCCCACTTCCAGCTGGGCCAGGGAAGCAGGAACACCTGGAACACCCTGGAACACCAGAGGCAAGAAAGAGGCAGGCAGGGGCAGCTGGCCAGGTTTGTGCTCAGACTGTATTCACAGAGACATGTGGCAGCTTACATTGGACAAAACTGAGTAATAAAAATTAGCTTTAAATATGGAAAAACCAGGGTCCTGTAATCCCATTCTACCCTAACACTGGGACCAGGATGGCTATCACAGTCTGGGAAGGACCAGGGCTGGGGCCCAGGACATACGCACAGCCTTACCCTACCCCCCTCACACGTACACAGATACACACCCACACCCACACATTCTCCATGGGCACACATAGGGAGGGGAAGATTATTGCTGGGCAGATGTGTCTATTTTTATGAGGGGATTCTGGAATGTTGGCCAGAGTTGGCCAGGGACACCCCTACCTCTCCTATGGCCTGGGTTGGAGCATTTTTGAAAGAGGTGTCTTCAGGGCCCAGCATAAGAGACAAGGTGACCTGGGAGCTGGAAGGCAGAGGGGAGACCCACGTGGATCAGTTCGGGCAGTGAACTAATGGGTCTCATGGTCAGTCCAATCTCTGGTCACACTTTGGCACAGGCCTACAGGATAAAGAACCCCCTGGTTCAACTCTGACAATTGCTATAAAGGGACAGTATTGGGCCCTAATCAGTGCAGCCTGAACCCAGAACATCAAGGGCAGGCATGAGCTTCACTCAGAGGTTGGTGGTGGCCAGCACAACGCCACAGGTTTAGGTATCTGGCCTTGCCCCTTCTGAGTGCGGCCAGAGAAGCCTTGACTTTGGCAGTGGCTCCTCCGCTATCTCTTAGCTCTCCCAGCCAGGGCTGACTGCCTTGGAGGCTGAGCCGGAGCGCCAGGTCTGGGGTAGAAATTAAGAACGCTCTGGTTGCTATATACATTCGTACAAATACATAAATACAGAAAGCCCCGAGCCCCACAGAGGAGCTGAAGGGACGCACCTTTGTCCCAAGGATGGCCCAGGCTTTGCCAAACTCGGCCAGGCCAAGGGCTGAGAGGACACTGGGGACAGCTCCGGCTGTGTTCCCCAGGCCACGACTGGAGTGGACAATGGGGAAGACCACTGTGCAAAACTGTAAACAGCACTTGGAGCAGCTGCTACCGCCAACCGCCGGTGGGGGCCTCGGGCTGGGGACTAGAGGCGGGTGGGGAGCTCTTCCTCACTGTCGCTGCAGTTCCCACAGCAGTCCTGGAGGGACAGGAAGACATGGAGGGAGAGAGGCAGAGCAAGTGCTGTTAACGGGGCTGGCCCTGCCAGGACAGGACCGGTGCCACCCAGGGTCACACTCGGAAGACGGCTCTCCACGAAGGGCCTGGAACAGCAGCTCAGGCCACATGAGTGGGCATCAGAGCAAAGGTTTCTGGCAACTGATTTAAGTAAGGGGGACTAGGGAGACCCCAGAATCTGCCAGGGCAGGGCCTCTGTCTAGGCCCTGGATAGGGGATGGGCACAGGGAGACAGACAGCTAAGCGAGGCTGACAGCTTGAAGGGGCCAGGAACTGCAGCAGTGGGGAGGGGCACAGGGAACGGGCACCAGACTTCTTTCTCCCACATCTTGCCTCTGCCATTGAAGGGCTGCCTGGGGCTCCCCGAGGCTGGGCAGCGAGGCTAACCCAGGGGGAGCCCACACTGCTCACCTCTGGAAAGAGAAAAGAGGCCATGAGCCCAGCCACGGGAGGGGAATGAGGCCAGAGACCCTGGGTATGCTGGCAGGGCTGGAGCATGCCCACCCCCAGCACAGGTTGGCACAGGCTGTGCCTCCCACTCCCCATCCCCTGAAGCCAGGCTGGGAGCCCAGGTAGGATACTGCCAGAGCTTACCTGGCGGCTGAAAAATCTCTGCAGCAGTCCCTTCTTAGGTGGTGCAGGTGGCTGGCCCTTCCAGTCCAGGTCTGGGGGAACTGAGCCATCTAGCCCAAAGACATTCAGCTCCTGGAAGCACTCAGTCTCCACCATCTGCCAAAGAACAGGCAGCGGTGAGAGCTACCCCCAAGGCTGTCCCCCTGGAGCCCCTCTCACCAGTGGAGCAGGTCCTACCTCGTTCTGCCAGGGGATAGGCACGCTGCCTGTGGCAAACTTCTGGTAGAAGTCCTGGTCGGTTGGCTCTAGCTCTACTCCCTTAACGGTGGAGAACTGTTCAATGTCCAGAACATCTTTGCAATAAATAGCCTGGGGCTGGGGGGGAAAAATGTACTCATCAGATAAAAAAATCACAAGTGTAGGAGCACACTCATGTGCATGCACACATATAGAGAGGGAAGGCAGCTCAACCTTGAGTCCCACTGTGGCCCTTAGCCTGGTTCTGCCCAGACACCTGTAAAATCTGGTCAGCAACCTGGTACCCCATGCATTTCCCAAGCACTACACTCTCTTCTGTCCAAGGCTAACTTCTCCCTCTGTTTCCTCTTCTGCATAGAGATTATTATCCCTTATTGGTCAACGAGTGAAGCCGTGTACAGACCTGATGCTGCCCCACTGTCCCTTGCTCTGCACAAGGTTGCTTAGCTACGTGGCTGTGAAGGGGAGTGGAGAATGAAACTGCTAGCCCCATGCAGGGCCTGCAGCAGATGTGTCCCCCATCCTGAGATGTCCAGCAGCTTGCTCTATCCCCTCTCATAACCAGAGGACTGGAATGGTTCATTGCCTTCCCAGTGCCCTGCTAGGAGGCCCCCTCAGCCTCAGAAGGCCACTTTCCCATCTTTATGGTGGTTTTTTTTTTGGTCTTTTTGAAACAGGGTCTTACTATGCAGTTCAGGCTGGCCTTGAGTTCACTTTGTAGCCCAGGCTGGTCTCAAACTCGCAACGATCTTCCTGCCCCAGCCTGTCGAGTGCTAGGATTACAGGCATGCGCCACTATGCCCGGATTTTATGGTGTTTTGTAAATCCTATTACTAAGGTTATCAATTAAAATACCATCATCATGGGGCTGGGGATGTAGTGAGCTCAGTGGTACAGCATGTGCTTGGTAGGCCCTGGGTTCAATCCCCACTGTGTACGTGCGAGTATGCATGGACACCCCCCCATATAGATATATTCATCATGCAAAATGGTACAACTACTTTGGAAAAAGTACGGCAGTTCTCCCAAAAGGTTAAACAGAGCTAGCCTATGACCTAGTAGTTCTATACTAGGTATAATACCAAGAGAAATCATATCTGTTCACACAAAAAAATCTGTACAATAAGTGCAGAGCAGTCAGGCATGGTGGCAAGTGCCCCTCATCCTAGTTATTCAGGAAGCTGAGGCAAAAAGATTGCTTCAGTCCACAAAGTTGAGACCATCCTGAGCAATACAGCAAAACTCTGTATCAGAAAATAAAGAATGCTCGTAGCAACATTCTTCCTAAGTCAAAAAAGTGGAAATAACCCTAATTCTATCAATTTATAAATAAATAAAATGTATTATTACTTATAACATGGGATATTATTCAGCCTCAAAAAGGAATGAAATACTGATACATACAATGCAGATGAACCTTAAAAAGCATGCTAACTGCCAGGTGTGGTGGTGCATGCCTATAATCCCAGCACTTAGGAGGCTGAGGCAGGAAGATCACCAGGAGTTCGAGGCTAGTCAGGGCTACATAGTGAGTTCAATGCCAGCCTGAACTATGTAATAAGACCTTATCTCAAAAACACAAAAACAGAGCCGGGTGTGGTAGCTCATGCCTGTAATCCCAGCACTCGGGAGGCTGAGGCAGGAGGATCATTGTGAGTTTGAGGCCAGCCTGGACTACAAAGTGAGCTCAAGGCCAGCTTGAACTGCATAGTGAGACCCTGTCTAAAAACAAAACATACTGAGAAGCCAGTCACAGAGGACCATATATTGTATGATTCCATCCATATATGTGAAACATCCAAAATAGGCAAATATATAGAAATATATAGAATATATCAGTGATTGCCACAGCTGGCAGACAGAACAGCAATGACTGCTAATGGGGACAGGTTGGTGGGGTTTTTGTGGGGGGGGTGATAAAAATATTCTAAAATGTATTGTGGCATAGTTGTACAAATATGCCATACTAAAAATCACTGAATTACATACTTTATATAGGTGAATTACATGTGAGTTAAATCTCAAAAAAGCTGTTAAAAAATATGATCTTGTCTCCCTAGTGTAAGAACCTGAAAGAGTAAATAAAACCCAAAACGTACAATAGATAATATGAAAGGGAAAGAAATTGCTCACAGGAAGGAACTGGGATGAGGGAAAGAAGAAAAAGAAGGAAGGCAATGTGTGTGTGTGTGTGTGTGTGTGTGTGTACAAGGATAGCTGGAATAACTGTACTGCTAATGTCTGGTGGCTTATTGAAAGGAACAGTTAATGCTTAATTTTTTTTTTTTATTTTGATGAATTTTGCATGCTTATATCTGGTAATCTAGGCAACTGATATGAAGACAATATGCAATAGAACCACCACTGGTGAATTCCTGGTCATTTTGTTTAGTGAAACTCTGTATCATCTCTAATTTTTTTAATTATTATTGTTTTATTCCCTTTAATGGTTTGATCAATCTTTCATTCTTACATCTGGTAACCTGAACAACTTCGTTGAAGATAACAATATGTGATATAACAACCACTGTTAATTTCTATCATTTTGTTTTGAAACCCTGTGTCATTTTAAATGTTTTTGCTTTGTTTTTTGTCTGTGATGTTGGTATTTAGCTACTGTTCTTTTTTTTTTTACTGTTCTCTTTAAAATTAAAAAAAAATATGATCATTAAGCTTACTTTTCATCTATTGCTTCTGGAAAGTTAAAACTCCCAGACACTGACTTTTGTCTCTAACTTAGAACTTAAAGGTCCAGAGGCAGTGCAGTTATTTCAAAGTTACATGAGACAATGTGCACAGGAAGTAGGAGTGAACCTGAGCAGCAGCACTGGCCTCGGGCAGGCTAATGGAGGTCTGGACTTCTTGGTTCAAGAATAGCCTATGAAAACTGGAATTGAGGCCTATAATAGAAGACAGTCACAAGAGGCAGTGGTTGGGGCTGGGGATTTAGCTCATCAGCACAGCGCCTACCTGGCAAGCGTGAGGTTGTGAATTCGATTCCTGGTACCAGAAAAACAAACAAACAAACAAACAAGAGCAGTGGCTCCCTAGCTGACCTCCCCACTTACACACATACCCTCTGTGATCCACTCCCCACACTTCACTTTCCTATTTAAAGCACTCAGGTTGCCCTGTCATGCTTAGGATATGACCATCTTTCTCTTTCCCTGCACACACTCATTCGGGGCACACTGGCCTCCACCTTGCTCTTTTATCTTACTAGGCTACTCTCTGCTCTAAGACCCAATGCCTGGCTGTTCCTTTGGTTCTGGAATGCTTACTTTACCTTCCCCACCAACTTTTGGCTTAGCTCTCTTTTACTTATTTTTAGTGTCTGCTTAATCACCAGCTCCTCAGAGACCACCCTAAAATTACTATCAACCCCCCCCCCCATTGGGTTGTCTTCTTAGCCTGCTTTATTTTTCATTGTTGGACTTAGCATTACCTGAAACTTTCTCACTTAGTGGTTTATGTTGGTGTCTTTCCTCTAGAACAGAAAGATAGACCTGGATCCTGTGGACCTCATTATCTCCAAAATCTGGCACATATGAGCACTCAGATATTTGTCAAATGAATAAACAAATGTGTGGTTGACAATCATCAACCTGGCCTGTCCATCACCTTCCAGCCTCCCCAGTGAGCCTGGTAAATTATCACAGGACCCAGTCCTCATTTACATGGGAGGGAGGCAAGCACATGGCCTAATCCTGGCCAATCAGAGCCTTCCCTGTAACATTACACACAGAGAGCCCTGAATTCAGGGAAAGGGATACAGTCAACAGATCAAGGCAGGGCCAAGAGATGGAGAATCTTGGCAACACAGCATGAAACTCTGATGTTGGCCCTACTCTGGGACTTTCTTATGAAACAAACCAACAAACTTCACATTTGGCTTGACTAAGTTGGAGCTGGGTTTCTGCCACTTTCCTTTGGGAAATGGATTGGCAGTGGTCAAGGTGGGCATGTGATACAGTTGTGGTCAGTGAGGGTCCTCTGAGCAAACAGAAGTAATGAGCCATCAGCCTTAAGATGTTTTTCCCCTTTAGGATTTCCCTCAAAATTCCTGGGCAACAGCTGCTCTCTGTCTACAGGGATGTGTACTGGTAGGTCGTGGGCTTGATCTGCTGGGGCCATCACTGCCAATCCCTGGGGAAAGCTGCCCGACAGTGATGACCACATAATCTACAGTGTGTGTGGGGGTGGACAGTGAATTTCTTCAACACTCTCAGGGCTACCCCACCTCCACCCTTCCCCGTCCAGGTATGCCAAAAGCCAGACCTATCTTGGGGTTTTCATTTTTCTGAGAGTAATGATGTGTGTGGGGGTGTTAGGTCGGATTTTCTAACATATTGAAAGTGCCCTCCCCATACTCAAGGGTCCCCAGCCCCACCCCAGCTTGGCCCTGCCCTCCGCAGGAACGGGCTGCACTCACATCAGGCTTAAAGGGTGGTTCTAGCATGCCTGCTCCCAGCCGCTTGAAGTTCAGCTTTTTGAAAAGAGGGTGCTCCTTCACCTCTTGGGCGCCGGCCCCACGACACCCCAGGCGCTCCACAGGGTCCTTGCAGAGGAGCTGTGGGGGGGCATGGGTGGTCAGGGTGCCCAAGTGTGGGCAGGCAAGTGATGCCCCAGCTCCAGCCCCAGCCAGTCAGGCGTCCCACTTGCTGTGATACCTGGGAACAGAGGGAGCAGGCCTGCGGGGAAAAGCGCTCTGAGTATTCTTCAGGCACCTCCTTCACCAACCGCTCCACCTCCTCCCGCTTGATCTTCTTCTTCCTCTGCTGGAAGGGTGACTGGCCTGCGATCATCTCGTACAGGAGGCAGCCTAGTGCCCACCAGTCAGGGCTGAACGTGTACCGCTCGTTCTTCACCACCTCTGGAGCTGGGCAGGGCACAGAACCAGGGCTGGGTAGATGGAGGGGTACAGAGGCCTTGGGCCGCAAGAATGCCCAGCACATATGAATTGAGGGCACATGAATTGAGGGCACTGACTCAAACACCCCCTGGCCAGGGAGGCCATTATCAACTTGTTGGGGACCTCATCAAATACAGAACATACATCTCAACAAAGGGAGCTGATGTGGTCTGCAGGGTGCCACACCTAGGGTCCCCAGCTCTTCTGATTTTTTCTTTCTTTCTTTTCTTTTTTTTTGGTGTGGTGCTTGGGATGAAACCCAGGGCTTTGTGCAGTCTAAGCAAGCACTCTACCACTGAGCTACACCACAGTGCTCAAATGCTTATTTTTTACATAACGCTTTCTGGCTTATGAAATGTTGGCAACCAATTCAAACTGTTCCATGATTTTACTTCAGTATTAATGTAGGCCAAATTGGGCCCTTGTGGTTACTAGTTTGCAACTTCTGGATTTCATGAGAGAGAAGAGAGGGCCGAAACTCCCACTTGCTGATACCTCCTACCTGCCGGGGCAGGCACCTGAGGAGTTTTCTCTCAACTATCTCTTTTCATCTCTAGGCAACCCTGGGAGGCAGCTCTGATGATCCTTTCACAGCAGAGAAAAAGAGAGGCTGGGAGAAGAGGAATCTCTAGCACCAGGGCACCACAACAGGCAAGCGGTAGAATCTCTTGGGCCAGGACTCTGTCTACTTCGTGATGTGGTCCCAAAGTTGCGGGGGCATAGGACCACTGCCCTGTACCACAAATGGCCACACTTACTCCACACATGGGCAATCCAGCACAGGCAGGGCTAAAGCCATGGAAATAGGTTTGGTTTTCTTCTTCTCCCTGCCCTGGTAGCCCTGCTGGCCCAGCTAACTGTATGAGCTCAATAAGCATTTAGTAAATGAAAGGTGTATGGGCTGGGGATATGGCTCAGCAGTACAGCACCAGCCTGGCAAGTGAAAGGTCCTCAGTTTGATTCCCAGTACCAAAAAAAAAAAAAAAAAAAAAAAAAAAAAAAAGAATGAAAGAAGTAGATTCATAATGGTGGGTTTCTGGTTGGGGGTCTTGGTCTCCTAATCCACAAAAGAGGAACATCAGTATGGGCTCTTTCTACTCCCTCAGGCCCAAAATATCTCCATACAGAAGGTGATAGATAAGGCCCAGGACAATGAAGGGACTCACAAGGCTGGTGGCCTAGGACAGAGGGAGACTTACCCATGTAGCCCACAGTGCCCACACGACCTTTGATGGTCTGACCCTCAGGCACATGCACAGCCAGTCCCAGGTCAGAGATGCGGATATGGCCTGAATGAGAATGGAGAAGCAGGTGGGCCTATTGGAGACCAGGCCTCCCCAACTCACCCAGCCCCACCCTTGTCCCTCCCCACCCACCGTGGTCATCCAGAAGGATGTTCTCTGGCTTCAGGTCCCTGTGGGGGAAAGAAGGGCAGGGTCAGCTGCTATTTATTTTGCCAATAAGCCTGACAGGCTCGGCCCCTCCTAGCTCAACTGCCAAGTGACAGATGACTCTGCTCTCCCAGGCAACAGCCCTGACTCAGAATGGCAGATGAAAGATTTACAGTGCCAGGACTCCTGAGATCTTCCTAGGTGAGTGAAAGGTGACTCTCACCCAGAGAGGACTTCCTAGACATCACCAGTGTTGAGGAGCTCCCTCCTGTTTGGTAGCTGATTCTACCATCCCTCTGTCATGCAGGGCCATTCCTTTATCCCCTCATGAGGTTGTTATGAGGCTAAAGTGAAATCATCACCAGTCACCATCATAACCAAAGTCTCCACTACTGAGCCAACCTCCAAGGTAGGAGGGATAGTCTCTGCTTAGCACAAAAGAAAACAGTGTTGTTAGTGCAAGGAGCTGACTGACCCAAGGTCACACAAAGGGTAACAAAACCAGGATTCACACATAACAGTTGGCTAGACCTCACAGCCTAGGTCTGAGCCACTGAAGTCAGCCCACTGCGGGGGTGTGTTGAGCCCTGAGCCAGTTACTGCTGTGGCCAACTCACACCTTTGGCACACCAATAGCCTTTTGCTGTTGACCTGATTGACAGGGTTGGCTACCTCCATCCATACCAGCTACAGCCCCTGGAGATGGGCCAAGCCTGGGAGAGCTGCTACAGAAGCTCCACCCCACCTGTACACGATGCGTTCCCGATGCAGGTCCTCCAGCCCGCAGCAGATCTCAGCAGCATAGAAGACGGCACGTGCTTCAGGGAAGCCAGCCTGGCCCATGTGGTAGATGTGGAACTTGAGGTCACCTCCATTCATCAGCGTCAGCACTAAGCACAGTGCATCCTTGGTCTCATAGGCATAGGCTAAGCTCACCTGCAGCCAGGGGATTGGAGCCCTCAGGCAGGAACTTGGGGCTACCTGGGGGCAGGGCTAACACCAGCGGCCCAAAATATCCTTGTGGATGCCACTCCTTGGGGCTCCGAGTCCTTCCCAGGCCACCTTTCCTGGACAATGGCGAGGGTGAGAAGGGGAGGCCTAGAGGAGTGGGGTAGGGTGGAGGGCAGTCCCTTTGTTGGTGGGGACTTTAGCCTGGAGGGCAGGATGAACCAGCATGACCAAGACGAAGGGAGAGGTCTCCTTTCTGTACTTACTACAAACCTACTGTTCACTTTCTCCAGGATCTGCTTCTCATTAAGAGCCATGGCCTCCCCTTTCCGCTTCTTGATCCGTTTCTTCTCCAGCTTCTTGCAGGCATACATCTTGCCTGTTGCCCGCACCTGGCAGGCACACACCTGTGGCAGGGGTAGACGGGCAAATGGAGACCAGCCATGCTCTTGGGGTAGAGGGACAGGTGCAGGTCCACCCTAGCCACCTTGTACACTCTGCTGGGGCACTGGCCTGACCACTCACCTCCCCAAAGCCACCTTTGCCAAGGACACGGTACTGCCTGAAGGTGTTTTTCGTCACGGGCTGCCTGTGGGCAAGAGTTAAGGGAGCAAATGTTGGCTGAGAAGGGCTCAGGGACCAGGAAGAGCCTTCACTGGCCTAAACTGGCTCAGTCTGGGAGGAGCTTACCTTTCCAGCCACTTCCACTGCAGGAAACGGTTGAAGTAGATGCTGTCGAGGTAGTCAGCAAAAGGGGCCATGCTCAGGTACTCATGGGTCAGCCTATTGGAAGGACCAACCCATAGATCAGCCTGACTTCCTGATTCTTGGCTTGATGGTCCAGGCCTCCTGTGACGTGCACGCTCAGCCCACAAAGCATCATCCATGGCTAACCCTCAGGATAAGCCACTGAGCAAGGAGCCATACATTTGGTGCTGAAGGTGAGGAAGCCAAAGACATGAGCCCAACGGCCAAAGTTAAAGTGTGGGCCAGGGCCAGGGCAAGAAGCTGAGCTGTTCAGAGCCCTCTGGGCCCAGAGAAGCCCTCTCCTCTAAGTGTAATTCCAGGCCTGTAAGCAGGGAGGCTTACCGGGTCAACTCCTGGAAGAGGTCTTTGCAGGGGCCCTGCTCCAGCCGCTGGGCGCAGTTAGTCACCAGCTGCAGGGGGACCTCAGGGATGAGGTCAGGACCCTGGAGACAGGCCACGGACAGGTCAGTGCAGGGGCTCGCTTGGACAGCTGCCCACTCCCTGGGCAGAGTTGCCAGGTATCTCCGCTGGTCACAGTGTGGCTGCTGGCGGGTGCTGCGCTGGCTGCCCAGTTGTTGGACTCCCTTCCTTTCCTCCCTCCCGAGGCAGCGAGAGGCAGAGCTGTTGGCAGGCCGCCTGGCCTGAGCTCGGCTCACCCCCTGGGCTCCATGCCTGCGGTGCTGCCTGGAGCAGCTCCAAGGCACTCACTGCCCAGGCTGTGGTCACTCCTCTCCCTGTTGTCACTGAGCCCTGAGCCCGGCCTGCTGCCATCATCTCTCCATCACTGCTCACTCACCGTATGGCTCAGAAAATTCTGCATTAGCCGCCGCCCACATGCCTTCCGCTTCTCATCAGGGGTCACCTCGTACTCGGCCTGCAGGGTGAGAGGCAGAGAAACCTGGGGTCTGGACAGAGCAATGGGTGTGGGAGAACAGGGCACAGTGGCGGGGACCTCCACCTGCCCGCCCTTGGTTTTGGGCTGGGTCTGGGGCAGGCTGCACTCACCACCCCATCCAGGAAGGCAATGCAGCGTGTCAGCTCAGGCCTCGTGGTGCAGAACTCTCGGAACAGCAGGCGCCCAATGGGCTGCCGCTCACACAGACTGTGGTAGTCACGCTCTGCAGGCCAAGATGGGAGCTGTTGGGGTCACAATCCTGGAGCCCATTGGTAGGGCACTTCTGCCTACACCGCAAGTCCTGGGCCCCAACAGATTGCGGCCCTGCAGAATGGCCACCATTATCTCCTTTAGGGCTCTCACCACCACCCTGAGGTAGGCACTGAGCCATTCACAACGTAACTTGGGACTGTGAGGTCCAGCGAGGTTAACTGAATAGATCAGTGCACACAGTCAGTAGCCTGAGCGCCGAAGCCCAGGCACCCACCTCCCCCTCCATCTCCTGATTCGCACAACTTGTGTATGTCAGTGCTAGGGCTGGGTGTGGTCTGTGAGGTTCCTGCCCAGCCTGGGGCTAGGCCCACACCTGTTGCCTGCCTGGCGAAAGTGCGAGAGGAAGTTGTGGCTTCCGGCGTGCTCTCGGCTGGGGCTCCTTCCCAGGCAGAAGCAGCAATGGTATACTCTGCCCACACACAGGGCTTCAGAGGGGGCCCAGACAACCTTAGGTGCTACTCAGACCTCAGGACTCTATGAAGATAAACAGGAACTGGGGGCCTGGGTCATTCTGTCCCCTCCCAGAAAGAATCCTGTCACACTGCCCTGGCTTTGCTGGGTACCCTCTGGGCTGGGCTAGGTGGGGCTGATAAGCAAAGGCTGGGGGCTCTCAACACTGTCAGTCTAGGGATACTCCCTCTAGCCAGGGCCCCTGCTCGAGCTGGGCTGGCTCTCCCTTCAGCTGCTTCTCTCAGCTGCCCCCCACCTGCCTCTGCCCTCCTCTGCCTTCCTCCCAATATCCACTTCAACTGACCCCAGTCAGCCCTGTTCACTTTCTGCCCTCCACCCACCCCAAGCCCAGGAACTGAAACTAGGCTGGGTGGTGCGGCCTCAACCTCCCTGGTCATCATATTCCCCCAACCTTGCCCCTGTGCCCCAGGACAAGGTCTCAGGGGAGGCTTCCTTTGAACCAAGGGTCTCCTCTGCTTCACTAGTCCCCAGTCTCCACCCAGGTCTCACCGAAGCTGAGCCGCAGCTCTTCGCACTGGCTGATGTGGGGGAACTGAAGCATCTGCCGCCATTTCTTGCTTTTGCCTTTGCGACTTCCACCTCCACCTGCAGAAGCAATCAGGCACTGGGTCTCTCAGGTCCTGTTGCCACTGTGACTTCCCCTGATCTGCAGTGTGGTTCAGTGGCCTTCAGGGCCCAGTCAAGGCCCAGCCTGCCTGGGGAGGCACCTTGGGCCTTCCTCCACATGCTCCAGCATGCTCTTGTTTGGTTCCAGGACACATAAGGTCCGTCTGGACTTTCCTAGTAGGGCTGAGAAGGCCCAGGCGGGCAGTGAGTCCATTTTGGCAACAAACTCGGCCTCAGGTGCTTCCCCCTCGGTAGGGGTTACTCGGGTGAAGAAAACAGCAAGGGCATCACAGTTGGGGGAACTGCAAAATTCAAGGCTCACAAGGGAGAGATTTCAGGTCATCTCAGGTAGGCTGGAGATGCCATGGGCAGAGGGCAGCCTGGGCCACCAGGGAGGCTCCCAGGCCTGTCCCACCAAGCTCTGCATCACAATTATTTCCCTTTGCCTCTCCCACCCATGAGCAAAGTGGTGGTGGGAAGGCTGGCAGTCAGGTCCCTCATCCCCTACTCCGCACACAGGGCTTCACTGACCTTGATGGCTGCCTTGTTTTACCTAGGGGACCCCCTAATGGTAACTGCTGAGACCGCATGGTAGGAGCTGAAATGCCTACAGAGCCTGACAGGTACAGTAAATGTGGATCACATATAAGCCAACAGGGAGTGGTGGGGAGTATAGTGAACTGGACTAGGAAATGACCCCTCCAATAGAAGGAGCTACAACACAACTCCTGTGGATTTCTTGGCTGCTGCTAAAAAGAAGTACTGGCTCAGTGACTGACCAGCTCACCTGATTTTCCAAAAGCAACTGGAAATCCAGACTGTCATGTGAAATACCTGTTCCTATTTGACTGTAAAAACAAAACAAAACAAAACAAAAAACCACTGCTGCCAAATAACTAAAACATGTCAGAGAGCTAGTTAGATGTGGCCTATGGGCCACCAGGGTGAGACAGTAGAAGAGGACTGCCTTGGAGCCTCACAGACCTGGGGTGGAATCTCCACCTCACACTAAACCCATCTCTTGCCCTCTAAGACTCTCAGTTGCTCTCTGTGTATTTCAGAGCCCAGGCTACCTCCAGAGGTGTGAGGGTGAATAGGAGTCTATACCCACTAGGGCTGAAGCAAGATGCAGACCCCAGCTCCAACATAGTGGCAACCACTTTCCCCTTCCTGGCCTCAGTTTCCGTCAGGTTTTCCAGTCTTGTCTCCATCCAACCTGGGCAGAGATAGGTGGTGGTAGGAGGAGGAGCCAGCTTCTAAGGAGGGGGGAGGACAGTGTCACTCAATAACAGAAGGGGCCCGGAGGCGGAAGTATTGCAGGTAGCCCTTCTGCAGCCTACACCCCGTGTAACCCCACACTCATTGCTTCACTGTGAATGAGCAACAGATCTCCACCCCTAACGCTGCTCAAGGCCTCCCCAGAAGGGGAACTCCTCCCTCACCCCCACAGGGTCCCTAGCCAACCCTAGCCCAACCCTCCATCAGCCTGCCTTCCCCACCAGTTACTTCCTCCTCCCCCTCCTCCCAGCCACATCAAGGCAGCAGCAAAAAAATCACATGCAAATATCCTGTCCTGGAACTGTAGTAGAATCTGTGGGGCTCCCCTCCACCCTACCCTGGTTCCCTTTGTGCTCTGGGAATCCAGGAAAGGAAGGAGATTCAAGTAAAGGCTCCCAGCCCCAATGTGGTCCCATTTCACCCTCACAGCAACTACCAGATTGGGCCCAGTCTTATGACAAAACTCAGGGTCTGAGTAAAGGATCAGTTTGCCTGCAATCACAAAGCCTGGAGGTAACAGTGGCAGGATTCAAACGCAGCTCCCACAACTCAAGTTTCTTTCCCACCTCTTATATGCCTGGCATTTACTAAGTGCCAAAAGTATACACTCACCAAGGGTTCCCCAACTACTTAGGGCCTCAGACCATTTGGGAACCTGACAAAGACCCTGGCCCCAAGCTGTCAGCCAGCTCATGAAATGATTCCAACACAGCCAGTCCATTGATCCAGGTTCAGCAATCAGTGACAATGAGGATTTCCTTTGATCTTTACATCTTATTCCCTAATCATTCTGCAAAAAGGGATACTGAAGTTGGGAGAGAAGAGACTTGTCTAAAGCTCTGCAAGTGGGCAGGGCAGAGCCAGATTAGGATAAGGGCTCTCTATTGGAGGCACAGGGGGTGGGCTGGTCATCCTATCCATACTTTGCTCAGGGCCCGACAAAGCTTATCCAAAGATGCTCACACCATCTGGCTAAGCAAAGCAGTGCCCTGAGCAAGACTGAGGGCTTTAGTGGCTAAGGCCTTAGGAAGGGAGGCCAGCTGGGCTCTCCACCCCTCCTCCCTGGCTGGCTGGATGACGAGGCAGAACAGAATCGGCAGATGCCCCCAGAGGCCGAGAGGAAGGCCCAGCCCCAGGACTTGATAAGGGACCGGAGATAAGACAGGCTCCCCGGGCACTAAGGACTCAGCCTGCCAAACTCATTTCCAGACAGCACCTCCCCAGGGTGACACAAACTGGGTGGGCAGGCAACACCAAGTGCTATACCCAGCTGGGGGCTCCTTTCTGCTTCTAATGGACGGTATAGGACATTCCAGGTCGTACCCCTGGGTCAATTACAGTCTTGCTGTGTGATCTGGGGTTTGTGTTTGGTCTGAGCTTCAGTTTCCCACCTGTAAAATGGGGCAGAAAGATGAAGCAGATGACTCATTCAGCCTGGGAGCCCAGCAAAAAGTGGAAAAAAATGTCATCATCTCCAGGTCCTAGAGTTCCAAAAAGAAGTCTTATTCACTGATGGTTGCCCAGCATCCTGGATAGGGTGGGGCACAGTGCAGCTGTACAAGGATTATGTTATTGAGTTGGCCATGGCAGGTGAGAGACAGACTAACCACAGGGCAGGGAGAATCAGTTTTAGTTCTGTGCCTCCCCGGACCCTGACAGCACAGGTGCCAAATAAAATCTGGAATGAGAACCATGAACACACACACACACACACACACACACACACACACCACACACCACACACAGAGGCATGCAAACTGGGCCCACCAGACTGGCTCCCCCATCCAGGCCGTTGCACTTACAGTGGTTCTAACAGTCCATAAGGCAGGGCTCCCAATTATTTCTGTGTGTGTTTACCCCAGCGAATCATAGACTTTCTGAGAGCAAAAATCGTGACCCATTACATTAACCTCTGTCTTTTAGTGTCCTGAGGCTCCTAGCAAGTGGCCGTCTGTTGGTAGCATATGGTGCGATCAGGAGTTTTCCCAACTCCAGTGGGCAATGCTATGCAAAGGCTCCGGTCAGTCATTCTCCGACCTTTACCGAACACCAACTTTGTGCCATCAGGGGTCTGGGCCTGGGGCACGTGGGGTAACTCCTTGCCTCTCACTTAGAGGAGGTCTCAGAGAGGCTCTCCTGCGGCTCAGGTCCTACCCTTCCCTCTTGCTCCCTCCTTCCCTCACCTCTTCACACTCCCTCCTTCCCCACCCGCCGGGAGGGCGGCGGCCTGACCCCCGCCCCTTCGTGGGGCCCAGCTCCCGTGGGCAGGTGCGAAGGAGGAGGACCATGAGCCGGAAGGGCTCGTGTCTGCCTGGGGTTCGGGTGGCGGAGCCTGCGGCCCTAGGGGATCTGACGGCTGGGGCGCTCGGCTGAGCTCAAAGGCCCTTGTCCGCGCTGCCCGTACCCGGGCCCGGCCATCCTCCGGGCAGCCTCACCTTCCCTGGCCTTGAGTAGCACTGTGTTCGCTACGATGTTCTCGAGCTCCATGGGCTGCAGCGGAGCCGGCTCACCGGACCGCGCCGCCGGCTGGGATCGCGGGAGAGCCGGGGCCGGATGGCGAGCGGCAGGGCAGGGCA